AATTTGTCTCTAATCTCACATTTCATCCCTCTGATGCGACAAGTTACTGCCATAACACGTTCCTGCACATTCATCATCATCAATGATATGGATCTGAAATAAAAAAACTAAAAAGTTAAAAATAGTTCAGACAGTAATCTAATGTTTGAATATTGCATAGAAATAAACGTGTAATCATACTGAGTGATTTATTTAAAATTCAGCCCATTTCAACAAAATAGATAGGGACTTTTGGAACACCCTGTATTTGTGGAAAAAAATGAAAAAAATTACTCTCCTTCTGGCCCCATCAAACCAAGGATATACGAGCCGTAAATAAATGGAGATGAAATCAACAGTAGACATTGCGAGTGGGGGATTGCCCATTTTGAATTTCACCACAAGATAGTCAAAAGAACAGCACATTTGAGAATTTTGCGGCTGAGGGATTTGCAACGTTGGTTCAGCAATGATTGATGTGATGCCAAACTATTGGGAACTCCCTCCATAGAAGTGTATATACACCTGTAGGGAGTATTACCCAATTTTTTTTTTCAAGCCAGCACGACTAGCAAACTGCGTTCCAAATGTTCAGCTTTCCATCTCATCTGGAACACACCGTGTATTAGAATGAGCCTCCTCCCTCCTCCTCCTCAGGCGCTCACAAGCGTAAACACATATGGAGTGCTGCATTGCTTTTATGAGGAACACTCCAGCCACATTCAGCTTTTTTTTTAAATCTCTTAATTTTCGGTTCAATTGTATTTCTCTTTGCTAGGATTTCTTCTTTGTGCACTAAACGAATGTCGATACTGATTTTGGCTTCTCAATATCAGCACTTTAGTTTTGCTGGCCAATTATGTGTTTGGCAAATATTATGTCGCGACGATAGGTTTTTACAATTCACATGCGAAATTCATAAAACCATTACACGGTTAAAGTAATTTTTATTCCAATTTCCACACATCAGCACATAATTTTGCACTTTTGAATGGATCATGCGAATGAAAATTCATTCGCATGATTGAATCTCTTAAATGTGCTGCACACGGAACTTAATAAATTTGATTTGAAAGAAGTTTTCTGATTATGGGAATCCCCACGACTGGGATTGAAACGATCCAGAGAGCCAATCCAGGGCGACTCCGCACATTTTGCAGTCGGAATATGGACTCCGCCCATTTTGCACAAGGCACCATTCAGAAGACTATTTAAAGCCCCCCATCGCGGATTGTTGCTCTGCCTTTCTCAATTCGAACTGCTCTCGCTCTTCTCCACATTGACACAAGGTAAGATGAATGATTTTCACATTGGAAATTCTCTTACATTTTGCTTCTTGGACTTAAATTCTAGACGTCCCTATGACGACAAAAATATTTGTCTAAATTCATAGAGATTCACGGGTCGCACCTGCCTAATTAGAGGAACTAAAGAACTTCAGTAGCATCCAATAATGTAGATCGTTCGGAGGTTTGATTTTGTTGACACGTTTAAATTAGCGCGACTTGCTAGCTGTATTTTATATTAAAAGGAGGACTATTTTGTCTCGTCGGCTATGTGCCAATAATCCCAAACGTTAAAGTGCGTCCCAAAGGGGCAAAAACTGAACTGAAAATTCCATATTTTATGATGATTCCTGCAAACTCTTAGATCAACTTAGGTCTTAGACAATCATTTGAATCAATTCATGATTCAGATTTAGAAAATCAGGTTACTTAACTTCCTTGTAAGGCACTTGGAGCAACAAACGCTTGTCCTCTTCGAAAGTAATTTACCCTTATTTCAATGATTTTACGAAAGGAAGACTGACTTTTTAAGTTTTCTTCGCACTTGCGATCATTAAACGAAATGGAAACCTTATTTTCTTGAGGCGTTAGTATTTCAATATTTCTAAAAGTGAGTTGTGTTTGTAAAACATAACGAGTTCCGGAAGCGAAAGTCGTCCTATGTTCAATATTTTCTTGTCTTTCTAGCAATCCCTCTTGCCGTATTGATCGAGGGAGTAAAAGATGGTTACTGCGGGAAAGGTTCTCGTGCTCGTGATCGTCACAGCCATGGTGATGGAGGCTAACTGCTCCTGCTGGGAAGACTGGAGCCGCTGCTCGGATTGGAGTTCTGGCTTGACTGGAATAGCTTTTCAAGATTGCGACACGCGCTGCAAGTGTCTGGGCAGGGCAAGTGGGAAGTGTGAGGAAAAAGACACTACGTGTATGTATTTATCCAGAAAAGTCAAATTTTGCAAATGCTATGGTAAAGGCAAACCTCCTGGGAAGTGGTGCGGATTTTAACCCTCGTAAGTGAATTGCCTTCTGTCCATTCGGCTATTATCGAACAACTTTCATATATTTGTCTGCAATGCTGAATCGATTTGGATTGTTTCTCTGAATAAATCAGACCACCTGATTCTGCTTCCGAAACACGGCTTAGAAACACGAAAGCTTAGGTTTTCTCTCTAGAAGGTAGGAAAGAAATGCCCATTAATTTCGAAAGGGTCCGCGATGTCACTTGGCGTGAATAACATCTCCAAGAGAATAAGACGAATGTGAAAAATTGGGGCTCGCTTGACTGCTCATTTCTCATTCCAGATGAATAGGAACTCTATCCAGTAGGAAATATTAAATAATAACAATAATGATAATGCATTTCTGTTTATTAATTCATTTCCATTCAAAGCTGTCACACCAAATGACTCAACTTAGATTCGACGAAAGGAAACTTTTAGTCTTCACAAGATTACAACAACAAAATTGCAACAGTTCATCGTTGAGGAGCCTACCAATCAGCGAATAGTTGACAACCGGCCGAAATCAGACTGGATTGATGGAGTTGATCAGACACTGAGAATTCCTGAAATACGTCTGCATATTTATAAGCAATTGGATAGCTACAGGGTGGCCGGGAAGATTCTCCCCAAGGTTTTTTCGAAATAAAACTAGAAATATAACACAGTGACAAAATATAATTGGCAAGTTACGTTACATACGCAATATTCTTTCAACAAGAAAGGATTCAATATGTGGTTTTCCTGGCACCATTTTCCAGGCAAGCTTCAAGGCGTCTACCAAAAGGGTCAGTTAACGCGGCCGTCTCCTCCTGGTTCATGCTGTCCCATTCTTTCTTTAGGCGGGTGATTAACTGATCTTTATGGCGTGGTGTGGGTTCTCTGAATACACCATCTTGCAATCTAGCCGGCAGACGTTCGATTGGGTTGAGGTCAGGCGAATTTCCAAGCCAATCCTTCCACACACTCTGAAACATATTGTTAATTGCTGAAATGCTGTGGCTGTTGTGGAATGAGCCGTAGCTCCATCTTCCATGAGGATGAGTGTTTCACGCTCAGGGGACTGGAGACAATTCTCAATGCATGATGCATGCAAATATGACCCCCTTAGTAGGGCCCATTAGCAGTAATTTTTTGAGGAACCACATGAAGTTCAGACTTTCAATAACCACCTATGGCCCCGCAACCATGATTTTCATATGAAGCTTTGGCTTTTGAACAGGACTGATGGTAGACGGATTACCTGTTCTCACTCGTCAAAAAGTTCCTGTGAATGGGGCTTACTACAGGGATAATAACCTCACTTCGTATGCAGCTTGCACTGAGAATCGTCTCTAGTTCCCTCAGCGTGAAACACTCATCCTCATGGAAGATGAAGCTACGGCTCATTCCACAACAGCCACAGCATTTCAGCAATTAACAATATGTTTCAGAGTGTGTAGAAGGATGGGCTTGGAAATTCGCCTGACCTCAACCCAATCGAACGTCTGCCGGCTAGATTGCAAGATGGTGTATTCAGAGAACCCACACCACGCCATAAAGATCAGTTAATCACCCGCGTAAAGAAAGAATGGGACAGCATGAACCAGGAGGAGACGGCCGCGTTAACTGACCCTTTTGGTATACGCCTTGAAGCTTGCCTGGGAAATGGTGCCAGGAACACCACATATTGAATCCTTTCTCGTTGAAAGTATAATTTGTACCTAACGTAACCTGCCAATTGTATTTTGTTGATGTGCTATATTTATAGTTTTATTTCGGAAAAACCATGGGGAAAAACTTTTCGGCCACCCTGTATTATCAGGAAGTAAGTAATTAACGATATAATTAATTCAATATAATAGGAGACTACTATTTCAAAATTCTTCTGTTTTTCTTTTCCCCGTTTGCTCCTCAATAGGCAGAACATTTCCCCATTTTGAACTCAACCAAGAAGTCCGTGACTCGTCAAAAAAGTATTATTGCCACGAAAGGCTTCGAACATCCCCACGAAAATGGTTGGAAGTAATTTTAGTAACACTTTATTCCCAGAGAACAATGAAGAAAAACATCAGTCTTTTTCCCACTGTACACCATGAAGCAACAATTTTGAAATCACAAATGCATTATGCATAAAAAAGTCGAGATAAAAATACAGAGATACGTGAAACTTGAAATTAATTGCCTGTAATATACTATGTTGTACATGTAATATGTATGTACGTATCAGAACACGAGGTTGTTCGGCTCAGCGCATGAATACTTCAAAGCGCCTTCCAAATGTGAATTTGAATTGCTAGGGAAAAAAATGAACCAAGATGCGAATCAGAGTGCACATTTTGAATGAATCTTGTCTCAGCAGCGGGGAATCGCAGGAAACCCGGAAAAGGAGGGTGGAAGGCTCCAACTCCGTCTCTAATGCAGCTGTGGAGGTGCACGTGCCCTCCAAGCCATTTCCTCCTGGATATTAAGTTCCATACGTAGCTGTCAGTGATGATAAATTGGCAAGATTCTGCGCTGGTGGCTGCTGAATGTCACGGGTTCAATTGCCACCCGGTCCATATTTTGCCATAATATCGGGAACTCCCTTCATAAAGTGCATATACACCTGTAGAGAATATTACCAAAGTATATTTTTTCCAGCCAGCACGACTAGCAAACCTGCGTACCAAATGTTCAGCTTTCCATCTCATCTGGACCTCACCGAGTATTAGAATGAGCCTCCTCCCTACTCTTCAGCCACGCACCAGCGTAGACACGCATGGAGTGCTGCGTAGCTTCACCGACATTTATGAGGAATACCACAGCCACATTCAGCATTTTTTAAAATCTCTCTTAATTGTTGGTCCAATTGGATCTCTTTTTGCTAGAGTTTCTTCTGTGTACCATACGAATGTCATTACTGCTTTTGGCTTCTCTATATCTGCATTGATAACTTTCTGGCCAACTATGTACTTGGCGAATATCATGGCGCGACGAAACGATTTTTCCAATTCACATAAGAAAGCCAGAAAACCATTACACGGTTAGAGTAATTTATATTCCATTAATTTTCAGATGACATCAGCACCTAATTTTGCACTTCTGCCGTCTGATTGAAACTCTGGGAGCCCATGGCCTTCCATCTGGCTCTTAAGTTGCAAAAACTGGATTATAATCGATGAATCGATGAATTTTCATTCCTACGATTTTATCTCTTATGTGCTGCACAAGGAAATGATTAACATTGATTTCAAGGTCATTTTGTGATTATGAGGAGCCCAGGAATTAGATTGAAACGATCCAGAGAGCCAATCCAGAACGACTCCGCCCATTTTGCAATCGGAGTTTGGACTCCGCCCATTTTGCACGCGGCGCTACTCAGGAGACCATTTAAAGCCCCCCATCGCAGGATGCTCCCATGCCTGTCTCAATTTTGCACTTCTCTCGCTCTTCTCCTCGTTGACACAAGGTAAGAGGAAAGATTTTTCGCAGTAGAAATTCTCTTTCGTATTTTCTACTAGGGCTTAAATTCCAGACGTCCCAATGACGACAGAAATGTTCTTTCTAATTCAAAGAGATTCGTGGATCGCACCTGCCTCATTACAGAAAATCTAAAGAACTTCAGTAGCATCCAATAATGCTGCGTCCAATAATGATCGTCCCGCGACAAGAAGAACTGAAGGCGGTGAGGTTAGATGGACGAAATAGGACGAAAGAAAGCCAGGGGACGACCGGGAATTGAACCAGGGCCTCCTGGTTGCCGGTCAAATGTCCTTTCATTACACCACCGAACCCTCCCAACACTGACTTCATCACAGTCCGGAGATTTCATATTGTCGTTAACGGATAAATTAAAGCGACTTGCTAGTTGTATTTTATGTATTGGAATGATGATTATCGTATCACGTCAGCAATATGCCAGCTGCCGCAAACGTGAATGAGCGTTCCAAAGGAGCAAAAACTGAACTGAAAATTAAATGTTTTTTATGATTCCTGCTAACTCTTAGATCAACTAAGGTATTAGACAATCACTCGAATAAATTCATGAGTCAGGCTACATAAATCAGGTTACATAAATTCCTCGTGAAGCTCTTGGGAGCAACATACGCTAGTGTAGTTCGAAAGTAATTTACTCTTCTTCCAATGAATTTACCAAAGGAAGACTATTATTTTTTTGCAATTTTTGAAAACGCAATGGGAACCTTTTTTTTTCCTTGAGGCATTAAGATTTCAAAATGACTAAAAGCAAGTTTTAGTTGTAAAACAACGAGTTCTGGAAGCTAAAGTCGTCCTACGCTCAATATTTCCTTGTCATGCTATCTATAGCAATCCCTCTTGTAGTAATCCAGGGAGGACAAGATGGTTGCTTCGGGAAAGGTTCTTGTCCTCGCGATCATCGCGGTCACGGTGATGGAGGCTCACGGCTCCTGCTGGGACGACTGGAGCCGCTGCTCGGATTGGAGTTCTGGCTTGACCGGAATCGCTTGGCAGGATTGCCCCACGCGCTGCAAGTGTAAGGGCTTTGCAGGAGGAAGCTGCGAGGAGAAGGACAGCACGTGTGTGTTTTTATCCAGAAAAGTCAAATTTTGCAAATGCTATGGCAAAGGCAAACCTTCTGGGAAGTGGTGCGGATTTTAACCCTCCTGAGCGAATTGTCTTTTGTCCAGCCGACCATTATCGCACAACTTTCAGATACTTGTTTGCAATGCTGAATCGATTGGGATTGTTTCTCTGAATAAATCAGATCATTTGCTTCTGCTTCTGAAATATGGCTTAATGAAGCCCTTACTCGACGACTTCTCCTAAATGTCATTCCTTGAAGCGTCCACCACTTGCTTCAATCAGAAGTCATTTTCATAACTTCAAGTACGGAATTGCAAAAATTGTGAAAAGAGAGCAATTTTTACATTGAGAGGAAATTCCCTCTACACAAACACAGGGATCTAACGATCTAGTCTTAACTCATACTTCATCCAGATGATATTTCATTACAAAAATGGGTTGAATCAGCGTTTAACAAATTAACTCAAGTGATTGAGTACACCATGATTTCTACTTGAAGAGTGTTCCTTTGCCACTTGTGAATTATTGTAAATCTCTCGGTTTTCGCTTGTCTTCATATCTAAAGGAGACGACCAGCACTGTGTTGGTGTATTAATGTAGGAAGCTCTTGCCTGCATCGACGGAAGCAACGGGAATCGGCATCGCATGGTTCGTCTCGTGTTTCTGAGGTCCCTGGTCCTTCTAATCCTCCTCTGTGAAATCCCACTAGGGCTTCCTGGCTCTACACACTGTAATTCAAGATTCTTGGCAGTGTACCACCTTACAACTAGTGCAATGAAGGCATGTCTGCCTGGCTTCCCTTTCCGGGAAAGAGTGAACTCGTGTCATCTTGCACCAGCCTCTTATTACATCTACTTTATAGTCATTTCATCTGCTTTCAAGATGCTCTTCAACCCAGTAAAAACAATTTTCTCGTGTGTCTCTCAACTGAATCTCCCACTTTCACTCATTCCAGGTTTATTCATAATTCATAATTCATCGTAATTCATAATGTTATACTGATGTATTGCATGTCGAACTCCATTGACCACTATGTAATGCGTTCATGCTAAAAGAAAACAACCTCAGTTTCAGTAGTCCACTGCTGCCCGATATCCCGCCGGCCAGACAAAATTGCCAGAAACGTCATTATTCTCCATGGGCCAAAAAATGTACCCAATTTTAAAATAATATTATGGGTTAATCATACAAGATAGGATTTAATAATAAAATGCTTTAAGCAGACAAATGTCAAAAATTATTTTACTAACTTAACCTTTCTTCTACTCCAGGTCCAATATTTCCTCAGATAAAATTTTTGAAAAAAGAATCTTTATCGTTGTGGAGCAAAATTGAAAACTCGAATATTGATAGCGACACATCATGCATTGACAAATGAGTTTCCATGATGTGAGGTGCCAACAGTTGAGACAATATGACGATTTATTACCAAATGAAAGAGAAAAAGGACAGAAATTCGCAATATTGTCCTTGGTGTTGAGACCTCACAGCCAGAAAACTCCTTTCTGAATGCATGCTATGTCACTATTACTTATAGAGTTTTGACATGCGCCTCAATGATGAACATTTAATTCGGGCGTGTTGAAACTGCGACATAAAACAGAATTGTTAGGTAAAAAATATAGACATTTACCAACTTAATGCATTTCATTACTATGCATTCCTATATTTCATAGCTATCCTGTGATTTGATTTTGACATTTTTTAGTATTTTCCTTGGCCCACCCAGTATAACAATTTACGTCCCAAGGGGTTGGCTTTAAAAATCAATATTTCCTTAAAATCGCCTTCCCCTACTACAGCGTGTTTACAGAACTTTAGCTTTCTTTCCGGTATCATTGGAACAAGAAATGGTCATAGAGAACGCCAGCCAGAAAAATAATTGCCGCAGGCAAATGTATCCCAAAAATACTTATTCCCTGACACCTCTATATCCCAAGAAGTACCTATATACCACGCTTCAGCTTTCCATGGCTCTCCATTTCATTGAAGGAAAAATATTGAGAGAACTTCTTGTCCCTCGTATGATATGCCATGAGGGCGTGTAAGTAAAAACTTGACATTTCTAGATCATTTCTCCTAGCACAAATTTGTAGAGAATGAAATATTGAGGGGAGCTGAAAAAGTCAGAGAATACCATTTCCTTTCATTTGACTGGAAATAAATAATTTCCTTGAAACTCCTCATCCATAAAAAAATGTATCCGGCGATGTTTCATTAAAGCGAAATTTCTTTTCGATATTAATATAATCCGCCCTGAGGAAACATACAGTGCTTCAAACGTAGGATTATTTCTTTGATAGATTGAGTCATCTTGAACGGTTTGCAGTGGATTCACTTCGACTCCTGGGCAAGTCGTGCAATGAGATCAAAGAACAGTTTCGAATAAGATTCATCAAACCTGGACCAACAGACAAAGATATTCGTGAATTAGTCAATTAAATTTGAACGAAAAGACTCCGTCAATAATGAAGTTAAGCCGACCACCTTTTCCCCTGAAAAATTGGAGTGGATAAGAGAAACTTTTGAACGTTATCCTAATTAATCATCGGTCCACCGTGCATCACTAACAAAAGAATGTAACCCATGACATACTCCATCTAAATTTTTTTCCAAAAAAAGGCACACGTCGTGGGACGTGTTTAGGATTACGTTCGAATACCTCTCTTGTCGATTTCATTATTTCTCGGAAAGTACGCGGAAGCCACGCTTCATTATTGACAGATTCTCTCCATTCAAACTCCATTCACTAATAGACTAATTGCTTTGACTGTGGGTCCGTAAGTTAATTATTCTTAGGAAATGTTTTCTGATCTTGCTTTTGAACTTGCCCTGGAGTCTAAGTGAAACCATTGACACACGCTGGCGAAGACTCAACATAATCAAGCAGTAACATCGAAGATCATCATTTCTGCCAGATAGAGACTTCGGAAACCCTGAAAATTATTATTGGATAACGCTTGCTTGTACTAGTTAAATAGCATTGAACCTAACGCCGTTGTTCAAGAATTGATAGTTAAACTGGTTCAGTTAGTTCAAAAGGGATGATTCAATGCCTACAGTTCAGTCCATATTGTATGAGAAGCAAAAGAAAAGGAACAAAAGGAAGTAATTCACTTGGATCTGTGCAGGCGGGGATGTCACAGAATTCCCATTTGATATCTGGGTCCTCGACGAAGCACCAAGGTCCTTCCTTCTGGGTGGGGTTCCGGCAGTAATTCATTTGCGACCAGGAGTCAAAACCAAGGAAATTAAGTTCACACTCCATGGTTTTCTTCTTCATCATTTCTGGTACCCAGAAGAATGGAATTCCTTTTTCCCGCAACGGATTTACACTCAAATCGGTGACAAAATCATCTGGGATTCCGTACGGTATGGCGTCCCACCTGAGGCAATCCCTTCCTGATTTTGTTCTGTTCATCGTCCCGATATACTCTCGTCCCTTCTTCGTCAACAGGCACTCCGGGTACTTCTCTTCTCCTGCGAATGATGAACATTTTAATCATATTTAAAATAATGCATTTTTCACGGAATGACAATATCAATGAAGTAATTAAATTCATTACTACCAATACCAGTTCTCAAAAGCATTCCTTCAGGAGCCGAACTATCATTGACAAACAGTAATAATAATGTGTCACAAGCCTAAGGATTCTAGATTTTAAGTTTTCATTTTATTGGATACCTCAGATTATATTTAAATCTGCGACGAGAAGGCTGCTGTTGCTGAAGAATTATGCTCCATTTATTTTAAATTTTTGTGTCAAGTGTCACAGGCAAGGAATAAACTCACAATTTATATATATATGTAGATATACATTTTTTTGTTAATAGCATTTCTGTTTCTGGCAACACTTTCTCAATTTCAATATAAAAAGTGCAGCAAATTTGCGTGAGCTATTGAAACATTTCCCTGAACATGCAAATAATCAGCCTCCCTGAAATAAACTCATCTTACTGTCATTGCATTCATCACCAGTCAATTGAGGCTTCGATGCATCGTCGCAACAGATCAAGAATTTTCAAGTTTCCATATCCTCAGTCATACTCTGCTGGCAAACAGTACGACGTACGAATGCAGGCTGTACCATCCACGAAGGTCGTATGCCATGTGGTACAGGGAGACTGACAACGTGTCTGGTGCATCCAAGACCCGTCTGAGAAGAGTCGGGAACGTCCCACAGAGCAAGTGAAAACGATGGCGGCTCCCTCGTGGGCTGGGTACCCTCCATCCCAATTCTCCAAGCTCATTTCGGCACCTAGGATTATCGGGGATTCCACCACGCACACATCTGAAGGAATTAGGTAGTACGTAACCCGAGAGAGCGCACAAATCTCAGTAACCTTTCTTATATTTCACCAAGTCACCATATGCAGCAAAGAAGTTGTACCTTAACCCAGTCTGCACAAGACGTTGAGGGAACGTTGAGGGAAAGTTCAATTTTCGACCTTGCTTCGTGGAATAAACGTTCCTTGTAAACGTGTAATCCACGTTGTTGTGGGAAAAATTTCCACGTTGACAACACGTTTATTAAGGAACGTTGCCTAGAGGTTTCCCGGAGACGTTCTTTCAACCTTTGTTCATCATCATGTTTTGTTGAAACCATTCATGAAAAATAATGGGAAAAAAACATTGAAGGTGTCACATGCTTTATTTGCAGCAAAAAAAAGGGGGTCCATACCTTCAAATACAAAGGAACAGTCACTAAATCAGATCTCCACAACTGATGTTTGTCTGATGATGTTTGAACTGTCGTTTTCCACTCTTGCCATCTGATGATAATTAGCTGTTGAGAGACAGAAACCTTACGAAAAACTGAATGTTTGACTGAATTCTGGGCAAGAGGTAGATCCTCTCACCTTAGTTTCAAACGCTTTTGGGCGTTCTTTAGCCACTTCCCGAGCTTCTCTTCATAATCCTTCTGGGTTGGGTTGGTAAGGCGGGGATTACGTCGAACTGCATCTGAAAAAGTATGAAAAACTTGATTGATGATGATGTTTTTTGTTTCTGATAACATAAATTCAATACACAGGGGAACTATATCTGAATGTTTCCTCACCAAAAACCAACTCAAAGAAGTTAGTCTTAATGAAGGGAATTTTATTCAACTTTCGCCCATGTATACTCATCTGGGAAGCCAATTCATTTGATAGGAGGGCTCTCAGGATCCTATTAGTACAATCCGCCAGGTTGTGTCCTCCTATCAACGCCAAGGTTTCAACCTGTGAAAAGAGGAGTACAGAAAGCAGGAATAAGAAAAGTAAAATCTATTTTCTTCAACTAAAAGGCCTATGTTCATCAGTATTGCAGCTCCTAAGTTTGCAATGCCCTAGCCACACATTCAACCAGGGAGCAATTATATTTTGCATGCTGCTCTCGAAGGGTGACAGGGCAGCTAAATATTGTGAACTGAAGGGAGGATATTTTCCTTTCAGAAAAAAGTATGGAGCAGTCAGGTTATACATATAACCTGACTGCTCATTTAAAAAAATTTTCAGTCCAGGAAGCTTATTGTACCTCCATTGTAGCAGTAAACACATTAACCATAAGTAGTGGCAACAAATGATTTAAGGTCATTTTGACCACTAGGTCAATGGGGTTCTCAGTGGGAACAGGCTTACTGACATAAAAGTGGGCACAATGATGGAGAGATCTGAAAAGCATCCTTTTTTTCAATTAGATGGCTCAGAACATAGGTCATGTAATAACATAGGAGGATTGAGTCAAGTGCTGCAGCATTCTGTTACGAGGGGGAGGAAGACCTGAAAATCCTCTCCATAACTAAAAACCTGAAATATAAACATAAACATTAAGAATATTCTCCATGAAAGTTGGACCTACCATTGATTCCCTAACATCTGGAGAGTTAAGTCTTTCGTCAATCAGATGAAAATCCTCAAGGGTAATGATGGGGAGAGCCAAATTCAAAGTATTCACTATCGACTGAGGTTCCTGAGGTCTTGGAAGATGACTGTATCCGTCCATAAGCCCTTGAATCATGATCTCCATATTATCCAATCTTCTGCCCTGCTGAAGGATATTGTGCTTGATGGACACCAGCAGGGCAATCACCTGTCTAGTACCTGGACCAAGAAATACTAGAAAATACATAAATCCCATTTTGATTACTTCTTTTTACCCCAAAACAGTAAATTTAAAAACCTGTCTCATCAAGGGAAATCCTTGTCAGGTGCATTGGTGTTGATGAACTGTTGATCAAATTAGTCCCCAGTTGACTCTGACCATCAGAGCTTGTCAAGATTCCCTCGGAAGGTTTATCTGAAGGTAGACTTTTTGAAGGGATGGGAAGACTCTCTTGAAGAATAAAGAAAGGGAAAATGGCATCAGATAACATGTAAAGGGTTAATGCAATGATGTAGTATTTGGAATATGAATATTCACCTATGGGTTGAGGTTCCATTAGTTCTTCATGTTGACTTCTTGATCCTACAAGCTGCATGACACTTGTATTGGCAGTTTCCTCTTCATGAGCATTAAATGATCTCTGTATGCTCATGTTCTCATTATCTGAGATACACTCAGATGAAGATGAGGTTGAAGAATCTGATATGATCCGAGTCTTCCTCACCACTCTCTTCCTTTTTTTGCTTGCAGGGGGAGAATATCTGCATGTTGGCTTCCTTTTTCGCTTTTCCTCATGCTCTGAATTCAGATCTGAGGTCTCTTCAGCCTTCTTCAGGTGTGCATGAGCAGCATGATAATTGTCTATAATAAAAAAAATTGGAGATCACTAACATCCAAGACCATTGAACTTCACAGCTTTCTAGAGGCTAAATATTTGCTGTGTTACATTTCTCAGTCATCAGGAGCTCCATGTAACAGACCTAATAGCATAGTATTCTTGAGGAAAAACTTAATGAGAAGATCTTGTGGCCTGTTCAAATTAGAAAAGGATTCATCCACTTGAAACTCAATACACCTGCCAATTACAGATACAATATACAGCATTACTAACTTTTTCTTGTGTCAAGCTTTTCATTTGACACTGACATCCATACATAGTAAGTGCCCAAAGCACAGAAATCAGGGTTAAGTGGAAAACACTGAATATCAGCACACATGTTAATATGGGTGCAGAACATATTAGAAATGCAAACAATTAGAGAGGATGGTTGATGCTTAAAGGCATAGGGTTAGATATAATTTTACTGTGATGAGAAATCATCATAAAGAGAGACAAAGAGAGTCAACCCACCATACATCCTTATAACTCGAGCTGGATATGTCTGCCATGTTGCCATGGGTTGCCAACCAGTCCTCACAGCATTCTCAAGTTCCTTGCATGATTTGACATTAGGCCATGCACACTGCCCATCGACAAGCCAATGACATGGAACAACATCAACTTCCATCTTCTTCCCATTACACATCTCAACAATTGCAAATCCAAGCATTTCTGTTTCCTCACATCAACCACAGAAAACTAAAGAAATAAATTTAAGATAAAGCATAGAACTGCAATCTTGCATGAGTGCATGCCACTGCATAAGCATATACTAGTTCTCTTCAAGACCTTAAGGAACTTCCAACTTATGCATAACTATGGGAAAGGGGTATTGAAACAAATTTGTCTGTACGATATGGAAGCAAGATACATTTTCTCAGCACTTCTGAACATTTGAGGCTGTGAACACTCTTAGATGGCTGGGAGAGCTTGAAAATTTGGAGAGAAGAGGCTTTCACAGGCAAATGATAAAATGATGCTTGCTTCTGAAACATTCTGCACTGAAGAATACATTCTCCATTTGGTTTTTGTAGAATATTTTGGATATTTCCCACTGATCCATCCTTGAGTAGCACAGTGCTGTCAGCATTAGAAGAGCAACGAATAGTCATTCCTCCTATGGATACAGCCTTCAAATTCAAGGACAGTTCACCATGAGAGGATTTCTTTTCATAGGAATGAGAAGATGTAGGCTTCTCAGAATTTTGACCAAGGTCATTGCATTGCATGACTTCAACTGCACGTTTCACTGCTTGCTGTAATGGTGCATTTGGTGAATGAAGGGACTTCTTGATAGTATGAAGATAGGATTCAAATGGAAAACTACTGAATGAGTCCAAAGCTCCAAATTTCTCAACATCATCAGGGAGATGAATCAGGCAATGAACATTGTATGTCAATAACTCCTGCCCATAGAGGTGGGGAATCTGTCTCACAAATTCAGTCAGGGCAGCCCGAGCTTTAGAGATACATGCAGGCAAGAGATGTGGGGTTGTCATCATATAGACAGCACAATGAAGAAGAAGAAAATGTAAGTATAAGTCCTGGTGATGTCTACCCTTCTGTTTCTTAAATACTTGCTTCAGAATAACTGGCCCAACATACAAAAGGAAAAGCCTGAATTCTGTTGCTTTCCAGCGATCGATTTCTGCAACAGTTCGGGTTTTCCTCTGAAACTCACAGGGGATGAAGGGTGCTGCCTGCTGCAATAAAGATGAAAAATACTTGACTGACTGGCCAGACAATCTAACACTCTTCTTGCCCTGTGACAGCCACTGATGCATGAATCTTTTCATGACACCAAGATACAACAAATGCATGGGATCAATAGGAATTTGAGTTATCATTCCCATTCCAAGCTTGACCAGTGGTGACAAGCCTGTGTGATGCTCATCCTGTTGCTGTTTCAGAAAGGATTCATTTGTTCTGAGTTCTGAAGTAGCATCTGGAAATGTCATCCTCCCAACATACAGTCCTTCTTGAGTGCATCTTTCACAGCCAAAGTATCCAGAAAATGATTTCACACACTTGATATAAGCCCTAGCAGGAGCATCACATATGAAGGCAGAAATATATATATACACTTTTTGCTGTTTGTACACTGTTCCTTCATTTTGTAACCTGATGGCCTCATCAACAAAATCTCCCAAATACTCATCAAGACTCTCTGGCTTCCCCCTGCCTGCATAGAGAGCTATCAGAAAGGGCCTTTCTCTATATCCTGTGAATAGCCCCAAAATAGGCCAGAATTGCAAGGAAGAGCTTTTAAATACTGGCAAACCATCCACATTGATCTGTAAGTTCAACTGGCTAGGCAGAATCTTTCCAGACAGGGATTGCAAGAAATAGTGCACACCCTGCTCTATTCCTAGGTACACAAACTCTCCATCCCCCAATTTCTTCACATCCACATTTCGCAATGTCTGGAGAAGTGTTCTTCCATCATGAGGCAACTCAGGATGACCATGACACCGCAGGATTGACAGCAAAGAAGTGAGTGAGGTATGTGGCACCCGACTTTTCACGGCCCACTGGCGGAGTGAACTGGTCAAAGTACTTTGACTGTTATGAGATGGTATGGACTTGTCCATTGAGGTCTCTTTTTCTTCCTCAGTTCCAGCAGGTAGGGACTTCACATCTGAAGAAATTAGGCTTAAATACCCTGAAGAGAGTCCAGACAGGTTTGATGCTACTGACATATTTTCCAGATTTAAAGACCAACTCTTTCCTTCAGCTGCCTCTTCAAGGATATTCCCAATCCCCTTCTCTTCATCTCCAACTTTGATATGAGTATGTTGTTGGTTTTGCAAATGATCAAGATTCTCTTCATGAACTGATTCATTAGCCAATAAGCACACTTTTGCAGGTGGTTCACCATTTCCACTTAGAGTTGATAGTACATCTCTGATCTCCTTTTTAATTGCTCTGTATTTTTTTGACTTTGATGCCATCTAGCAATGCAATAAAAAAAATTGTTTAAATCCCCATTTTGACCATCAGACAAACCAGACCAAGTATTTAAGAAGATTGTGTAAACCATGTAAGCTCTGATGCAGACAGGGCTGTAAATTTCAGACAGCCTATGCAAGTACATACATGAATGGGAGTATGTAGATTTGAAGGTATCATTGGAAAAGAAAGGTGAATGGTAGGGGAAGGGAAAAGCATCTCATTGAGATGAACATGATCTGGGGTGAGTGCCTATGAAACTCAATCAATCAGTAAGTGGCACTCAATCTGCACCTAACAGGGCACTTATGAAGTTCCTGGAGGAAGTCTAAGTTCCCTTATTTTGGGAGGCATAAATATACTTCGAGGGTCACAGAAAGCATATCTGCATTATAGAACAGTGTAAAACCTCCTGTGAAGGCTTTGGAAGTAGTCTCTATGAACTTAAAACATAATTTTCTTCAACAGAACGTATTAATTTGCCCTCTAAGAGGCTATTTCAGCACACAAAAAATTTAAAATAATATAGGAACATCATTAGTAACCATTTGTTGCATGATATCAACATCAGCGCACCCTTATCAAAATCAACACCCACAATAAACAAGAGAAGTGTATGTTACTGATTCAAGTACTTTTATGTTATCTGAATGTTGAACTGAGCTGAAATAGAACTGTCGACCTGGTCTGGTTGACTTTCATGAACATGCAAGGAAAGTTAAAACTAGCCTTTCCAAGTTTAATACAGAACATATATTCTTAGGCAAAGCATAGACAGAGGAAAACAAATTTTTCTGGGGAGTTCGATAACTTTTCAGTAGGCTCCCATGCATGGGTCACCAATTGGTGTCAGAGTCGAACAATGAAGTTGAAATTGTGTACCTACGGCATTAATATAGGTCTACCCCCAGGGGATCCTTGACCTGAGAATTTTATAAGAACCTCGGAAATCGAACCAAATATCCGAGGCGATGATAAACTTAAGGATACAATAAGTACAACCTTTTAAAAGAATGGCTAAGCCAAAGCCTTCAAGGTTTATCTGTTGCTCAAAGGGCCGTACACAGTCCCTAATTCATCTGGCCAAGACATATCGAAGTCAAATTTCGTGACGGGCAGAATCAGTGGCGTAAAGAGGGGGAGCCTTCCCCCCAACTCTGGCCTTAATGCATCCGCCACCACCCCGGCGAGGAGAAGTAAGGGAAATTCTAGCTCCCCCACCATTCCGCTTAGCTCCTCATTGGCGAAATCCTGGCTACGCCACTGGACAGAATCATGGTAAAGCCAACCGACGTCCAAAAATTCTTTGACTAAGCCTACAGCCGTTGCCTTTGCCTACAGATAGACCATGGTCACAAGTCACAACCTATAATCCGTTCCCGGATTTCACTTCATACTGCGCATCAACCTTGAGACGAGCGGACCCACAGCGACCTCACAAACTAGGCTTCAGTTTCCGGTCTCCTTGCGCATGCGCACGCTTGGGTAGAATATGTTTCTCAAGTACCTCTTATTTGCTTAGCAGTGAGCCTCTCCGTTCAGTACATTGGTTTCGAGATTTTTTAAATTAATAAATTCACTGTATGAAAACCATAACTGTTACAAATATTATACCTATTAGATGTCATTCTAGCCACCCGAAAACCAAGAGCCTCTATTCGGTGGGGTATTTTGCCTCCTGAGCCGAGAAGACCAGATCAGCTGAGAGGTGTCCATGAACCAATCAACTAATAAAGGCCGGAAGTGGGCAGTAGCAGTGCTGAACGAAGGAGCCAGGGAGGAGCGCCCTGCTGACTTCTTATGCACGAAAGTTCCCAGGGCAGATACACCTTAGAAAGGGCGCGTAAGATTTCACAGGGGGCGGAGGCTGCCCCCACTTCCAAGTTATCCATTGTCATCACAAGTGAAAATGCGAGCAACCTCACCTCTCGAACAAATGCCAGAAATGGGTTTCCACTTGATGAACCAGTCATGGATGTTTCACGTTCTTTACTTGTTCATTCCACTTTTCCAATAGGCCCTGTGATTGATATCCAATGACGCAAAATTATTATAATTTTGACGAATGACTCTTAGAAAGTGAAGATGTCATGAGTTGGAATATCCCCCTCTCCTCAACATCAACTCTACGTCGAGTTACGAGCGAACCCGATGAGTCGATGTATCCACCAAGTATCGACGTTTACTCAACATCGAAACATGAACGTACACCAAAAATCAACGTATCCCCCAAATATCGACGTTTACTCAACGTTCCTGTGCAGACTGGGTTGGTGTAATTTGCAGGGTAGGCCAAAAAAGGGACATGTCATGATCTATGGTCATGATCTATTCATAGGTCAAATGCAAAATGGCAATTCGTTTGGTGTCAATATTTATGTTTGAGGAATATGATTTATCAATTTGAGCAATTTTTATGTTTCCATAGATTTTTGGATAGCATACACACACAATACATTTTCAAAGCTGCCCAACTTAGGTCATAGTTGCTGGAGCCACAGGAGTGTGCTCTAGTGTTTCTGATCCTGGGAAATGGACTTCAGCAAAGGAGTGGAGTGCCAAGCCTATGAAGGAGAGCCTCCTCTTCATTGGACTTGAGATCTCTCAATACAAAGTAGCTGCATGACTTGAGAGGTTCTCATGGACATCCTATAACAGTACATAACACTAGCCACCAGGCATATAATCCTAATTTCTGCAGTTCATATCCATATTAAGCTTCTTTAGAAAAATGGTCAAAGTTCTTTAGGGAGTCCATTGACACTTAGGATGCACTGCACTGGATTTCTCAAAAGAACCATGATGTGGGTCTTAAGACAATGAGTTTCATTCCAGCCACAATGAATTGAGAGGCAAGCTGATTTGTTGCACTCTGGAGCTCCTGTGTTGACTGGGTCTAAAGCCTAGGACTCCCACCATCAGTAAAGAGAAGTTTCTCTACATTTACATCACCAATGTTATCCCCTCCAGCCCTAGGCTGTGCCTAAAAATCTTATCCGTATGTACATATTCCAGGAACAGGAGAGAAATGAATGATGATGGAGTTTAATTTATGCTGAGAAGGAGTCCTTCACTCATCCCACTCACTCAAATGCAGTTTTTGCAACCACTATATGAGGCCTGAATAACCTGCTTTAGCTGACTTTTAATCCTGTACTCCTGCATTGCCTCCAGTGACTTCCCTCAAAGCCCATGGTATTGCACCTTTTCCAAGGTTCACAAAGCACACAATCATTCTTGGCATACTCTCAATACCCCTTCAGATATGGGTGAAAAAATGCTGGACTGTGATGCCACATCCTTCACAAAAGCTGCTCTGGCCCTCCTTGATGGTTTCACCAACTATTATCTGATGCTCTCTTTTTTAGTGCCTTGGTGTAGACTTCACCAGGTGCACAAAGAAAAGTAATCCCATGGTAATCATAGTACAACCCCCCCCAAGTTCATGTGTTCCATGTCTAATCATAGGTGCTATCCCTGTATTCACTGCAGTTTGATCTAATCTATGCAACCAGGAGCACCCATTGATTCCCAAGACTTTCAGTGCTCAGATTTCATCCAAAACACATTTTAAATTCTCCAGACTTGCTGAGTTTCCTCCAAGATGGATTACTCTCTGCATGGGAAGGGTTAAAGACATCTCCCATTTCAGAATTATTTTTTTCCCAGCAGTAAGCACTAAGAATTATGGTGTTTGGTAGCCTGAAGAGTAAATTACCTTCATGTACAGTCTGCCAGAATACTTGGCTATTGGGAGCAGAGCAGTTGTCAGATTCCTCTTTGCTTGTTGCATTTCTTCCACACTTTCTTTTCCACTTCAGCTACAGCTCCAGTAGCAGCACTGTGCCCATTGGCCAGAGTTAATGTCTCAGTGTCAGAAGTCTGTGGAGGTAGTTTTTAATAGTTTTTAACTCATCATGGGGAGGTTAAGCTCTCCATGTTGAGGTAAATTCAAGCAATTTTCATCTCACTTATTTTCCAATGCTTTTGGCTTTCAGTGCCAAAACATGAAAGGGTTTGCTCATATTTGGTATATCTTACGATTCATTCCTATGGAGTATATTCGTAACAGGACCAAAAAAAGGACATATAATGCACATATGTACATTATATGTTCATGAGAGGTAGGATGAGGAGAATTCATCAATTGAGCACTGGGCTCCAATGACAATGCTTCGTCATCTGACTTATCACTTGAAGATCTGCTCATTACCGACAGTATAATTTTTAAAAAAGATAAAGAAAGAAAAATACTCAATCTCTTCTTTTCAAAGCTAAACAGTCAAGAAAACAGTGAAAACTCAGTTGAAACATCATTCTATGGAAGCACAAGGATGAAAGTCGAGGCTGCTGTCGACGTCAGTCATAAATTTCTTTCTCACTCTACTCAGTTCTATTAGAATGCACCGTGAATTTCATGCAACTAAAGTGAAATCGCAGCGACACTCAGTCGAGGCGGAGCGGCGCTTCCGCGGAGTGCATCCCAGAACGGCCCGCCCGACGAAGCGGAGCGAGAATTCAGGACCCGTGCCCGAGATCCTTGAGGAGGATCTTGGCCGCGATCGCCAGGAACATCCCCGCCAAGACCGTGAAGATGGTGCGATACCTGACGGCCCCACCGAACACGTTGAGGAGGGGCGGGCTCTGCACCAGGTGGAAGAGGAGGGCCATGCGCTGCGCGCTCGGACGGATCGCCTGGAACCGAACAGAGGTCCTTTCTTATTTCTCGGGGCGAGACGAGGGAATATGACAGACAAAAAAAAAGGCATAACTATTAAAGAAATTCCAATTGACTAGTAGCCCTGGAGTCGAGCAGCAAGAAGGAATAAATTCCAGTCATTCCATATCGAAATCAGAGTAGTTTGGGAAGCAGCCCGAGTAATTGGAAGAAGTGTGTTGAGTCACCCAATCCGATTCTATTTTCATATGGACGAGGTGGTATGTTTAGGTCTGGTATTAAGCAAATCGATATTAAGAATAGAGGAAGCTAAAAGTGATCCTCGACATCAGGAAAACGGAAGCGGGGAGTGTCGGGAGATTTCACCTGGGGGTCAGACGATAAAAAAAAAAGTGGGAAAAATGGTTTGCATTTTTGGTACCCATTCGTTCAATTACCATTATCTATTTTCCCACAACGTGAGAGACGGATGACTCGAAAACTCCCTTGATCCCCAGCCTTTAAGAGCCTTTAAGTGAACCAGAATATGTTCACACAAAATTCTGGAATTTTGCGTGAATTCATTCACAAAATTCTGGAATTTTGCGTGAATTCATTCACAAAATTCTGGAATTTTGCGTGAATTCATTCACAAAAAAAATCTGGAATACGACAAAACTTTGCGTGGAAATGCATGGTTTTTGTGAGGCTTTCGAACACCCCCAAGCCATTAGGAAATATGTATTCAAGCCTAGGAGTTCACGAGAGGACTCATTTCCCCAGACTTTGCATTCTCTTCCTTTTACTCATGTATGACTTACAATGACTATATGTTTGTTTATATACCTTTCCAAAAAGAAAAAAAAAACCTGTAACGGTGGAGGCAAGAAAAGGAGAAAGCGTTCGCCCTCGCAGATCTGAAGCCACAAGGCTGTCTCGCCCTTCTCCCGTCGAAACATTCCCTATGCCCCTGTCTCATTCCCCTTCTTTTTAAGAAATTGTTTTTAGGGAAGGAGGGTCATGTGTAGGTCTGTCTCGAATGGGACTCAGGATTCCAGGCGATTTTCGCTTTTCCTGCCGGAGGATAGGCTCAGGGTTTTTTTTTTGGTGAATGGTATACTGTAGTTTTAAAGTGCCGAAATTTCTGTTCCTCGCTGGAAAATTCACTCACATACCTTCCTGTGGAAATGAAACCCGAGAAGAAAATTGCAGGAGCTCACTCGTATCAATCGGTTGCCCTCCATGCTCGATTCGGCGTAGGCGGACGTGAAAAAGGGAATGAGCAAAATCGCACTGATGACCTCGAGCAGCTCCGTCAGCGTCGGCGAGTGCGTCAACCACAGCACCAGGTAGACCGACGTCCACAGAACTGTCAGCCCGATCACCGAGAACATCCACTGCTCGAACACCACCGACGTCCGGTTCATGTCGTTCTGGCGAGACGAAAAAAAAAAAATAAAAACTAAAAAAGCGAACGGCGGGGGCGGGCACTCGCCACCGGACGCGGAGGCAGGGCTGCCGCGCTCACGAAGAGAGGCCAGTAGATCTCCAGGATCTGCTCGTTGGTCATGGGTCCGTCTTCGCTTGGGCTCGGCTGGACCGGTCCCTCTGCACCATCCTCCTGCAGGTTTAATCGCGATTTATTCTGGTTCGTCGCTTGGAATTAAATAAGCATCGAATATTGCATTTTTTTTGCTACGTTGATGTCGATGATCGATATCGATCGATGTCCAAGCCTAAACGACTCCATCGTTTTACTTCTCACCGGATCAAAAGATGTTTCTTAAAGTGTCTTCTTAAAAGTTCTCCATTCAGAAGGATTTACTTATATTGCAAGTACCGTTCATAGGCTATTTTCCGTGCAAACATTCATTGGGAATCCTCAATATCCCATAGATAGATATATACGGAAATACATGACCATTGGGACATTTTTACATGAAGAAAATTATCAGTAATTTTTTCGAGTCGTGTTCCTCGAGAAAAGACTCGCTTGATGACAGTTCGACAGTTTTCCTACGAGAGCCCAGCGAAGCAGACGAAAAGCGACTCGGACTCACGGAGTGGACTTGGGGCTGGACCTGGATGTCGTCAGTGGGCCCCTCGCCGCCGCCGCCGCCCTTCCCGGCTTCCTCCCGCTCGACGCTCGGCCAGATGGTCGCTTTGCAGGAGGGGAGACAAGTTTTTTTTTTATCTTTCGGGTGGAGGGATGATTGTTGGTTTTTCGAGGTTCGCTCGGGCTTACTTGGGTCTGGGGGTGGTTCGACGGGAGGAATCCAGTCGCGATCGAATTTTGTAGAATCTTCTTGGAAGAGTCTTGTCCCCTGCTTAATTTCTGCAAGGGGGGAGGGGGGGCGGGGGGGCATGAGACAAGATTCATCAGGACCCAAATACGTGGAATTTGAAAAACTCCATCCATTCACTTAGAGTTTCGAATAATGTTGATTGGAAAGTTGAGAAACTTGCATGAAACAAGCCAACTACAAAGTTGTAGGGTCGATTCGATGGAAAAGTATATAATATATATTTATTTTTATCGTCTCTCAGGGGCCAAAGTAAACCATGAACTTGGCAAATTGCAAGCAAATCCAAGCATCCAAGCAAATAAATGTATGAGCGACAAACATTACTATTCAGACTCGTGTACCTCAACCATGACGAAGGGTGTCACAACAGGTTAAATTATGAGCATGAGAAAGGCGTACCTATGCCAACATAGTGAAGTTCTTTGTGGGCCCAGAAAGTCACAACAAATAGGACGACGAAAGGGATTCTAAACATTTCATTGAAAAAATTACATGAGGCGTGGGCCTTCGTTATGATGAAATCGTAGCCCGTGAAGCCGCGATTCGATTCGACGAAAGGCGGACTCACGCATGGTGTGCGTCTTGCACACGGAAGTCAAGGCCATCGCGGCCAGGAGGTTCCAGACGAGGAACGCGGCGGACGACACGACGCGAGAGACGTAGCGCACCTTGCAGACGATCGGGTCCAGCTCCACTGGAAAATATTAACTTCTTTTTTTTTTTCCTCCATCTCGGCGCGTCTCGTCCGGAGAAAGGGAGAAGCGACGAACCTTTCTTGCAGGTGCCACCCTGCCACTGCTCGAAAGCGTTGACGTCATTGAGCACGGTGAAGGCGATCATGAGCAGGCACACGATCGCGACCGTGTCGACCCGCATCACCGTCTTCGCGTGGAGCCTCAGCATCGGCAGGTACATCCGGTCCCGGTAGACGCGCTGCGACAGCGCGAAGGAGTAGAGCCCGAGGTAGCTCCACCCCACCGAGAGGAAGATGCTCATCGTCCCGTCGATGATGTCGTCCGAGGTGAAGGACGACCTCACGTTGGACACGACGAACCACGCGTTCGCGACCACGTGAACTGAAAGAGAGCACGTCACGATTCCGCGCGATACGGTCCTTCACGACGGCGACAGAGGAACCTAGGACCTCGATGTTCAACATTCCTTTAACATCGAAATGTCAACTCCCGATCGCTCTTCGAGGTACCCGAGATCCTTTGCCGCGATTCTCAAGAATATCTTAGTCGTATCTTTTCGTAGAAATTGACCACCGTTATTACAATCGATTGAAAATTCATTTTAAAAAATCTAGAATGTGAGCATCTTCCATCCTAATTAACTTTTTAGTTAAACTTCATTGTTACGAACACTGCAAGGCCAGATGATGGGGAAATCCTCATGGAGTGCGTCTGCTCGAGTCCTCCCCCACCGACCTTCTCTCTCACCTGCCCATAATGACTTTTCTCGCGACGGCCCATCCCGACGCATCGGGGTCGTTCGACTGGAGCAGGCGGAGAAGCCTCCTCTCTGGAGCCGAGGCGGCGGGCTCGAACCCGGCAAGCCGAACGTCGAGCGAAGAGTCACGAATCCGAACGATACGATCCGTTCGACTCGCAAGAGGCTCGCTGACGCGTCTTCTGGCGGTCGTTTTGGATCGGGAGACGCTTTTTGGGAGTCTTTTTGAGCGCAGAAGGGGCTGGAGACCTCTCGTTCCGAAGCTGCTTGCATCCGAGGCGTCACGCTTTCGGGCGTCGCCCGCGGTTCGCGGTCGAGGATGGTAAACGGCGCCGAAGAACCCAGGATTTCGCTTCCTTGGAAGTGTGAGAATCGGGGACCATGGACCCGCCAGAACTCCCGCAAATTGCAGAAGCGATCTTCGACATCGTCCCCATACAGCTCGCCTCTCGAGAATCAGATCCCCGAGGTACTTGATCTCAGCTGGGCCTTCTGGCGCGGAGATTCGCCCCACCGTGGAGTTTCTTCTGCAGCCGATCGTTAGTCTTGGACCGAAATCCCGGCAGAAATCCTGGAAGCAACGGGCACCGATGGGTGCTCGTGGCTGCGAAGAATACGTCAAATTGCACGCGAATCGGGAACTTCTCCTTCGGACGGGCAACTCTGGGTGGCCGATCCTCATCAGAAAGGGGAATCGATGGAACTACCGAGCGATAACTCTCCTCGGCAAATTGGTCAGGATTGATGCCCAAGGGCTCGGATAGAGAGTAAGGGGCAGTCGCCGCAGAAGGGATCCTCGAGGCACGGCACCGTCCACCGGTTCGGCATCGTCAAACCCTCGAGGGGCATCGAGACTGCGATCGAGAATCATTTCCCCGCTCACATGCGCCTCGTGGACCTCGAAAAGGCGTACGACGGAGTGCTCTCGTTCCGCAGAAGTACAGGTCGAACGGCCGGCTACAGCCTGGGCCCAGAGGGGGTCGGGGTCGGTGGCGTCGTTTGTCCTTTTGGCCCGGTCCGGGGGAAGGCAGGCGACTGGAACGAGACTCGGTGTCTCCAGACCCCAGGTTGGAGCTCTCGAGGAATTTCATGCGATGCGCCCTACATGCAAAATCGCCAGTTTTGCGGGAACTTTGACGGGGCGTGGTCACCAGATTCGGCATTTCCGAGGAGGCGAAACTCTATCGTTGGGGGTTTATCGATCCGCCCTCACCTAAGACTATGAACTTCGGATGAGACCGAGGGGAAAAAAAAATCGTAAACACGAACTGCCTCGACGAGGCTCTTACGCCGGGTGGCCGGTGCCACGCACCGTGAGAGCCACAAGACCACCAAAGAGACGATCATGAGAGTCTCTCGGTCGAGAATGATGCGCGGAAAAGTCGGTCGACTTCGCACAAGGTGAACAAACGACATTGGCCAGCTTCTTCACTCCTCGCTTGAGTCCGTGGGCCAGGATCGGGAGCGGCCAGGATCGGGAGGGGCCAGGATCGGGGGCATCCGAGGAGTCTCAGAGGCCTGCTCCGAACGAACACCCCAATGATTGACGGTCCTTAAAATGTATGTCTGTATTCTGGATATGCAAGAATCGGAATGGAATCGACATAAATCCGAAGTTCTTGCTTTTAAATATAATTTTTGTCCGATTCCTTTGCAGCTACTTGTTCGAAAGGTATGCCAAAACTGCGATTTGAGACATTTGAGACAACCTATTGAACATCTCATTTAGGTAATGATGAGAGCTCTTTTCTTCTTCCAGCCAATCCCTGCCTCTTCGGTCCAGCATTCATCATTTCTTTTTTTAAATGTAAATTATAATTTGAAAGATGAGACACGTGTGCTCTCAGTACCAGAATTACTACCCGGTACATATTTTTAGCCTTCAGGATTACCTAAAGGATTGATTAAAACACATTTAAAGGATTTTCAAGACATAAAAAATCCACCAAGTGGTATGCTCCAACCCCATTGGCTCCCCAGCCGATGCACACCTGCCCGCCCGACACATAGAAAGCGAGTCGCTCTTCCGATTCATGGTACGACAGAAACCAAATGACCTCGAGAAGGAAATCCACCTGCGAACCACGGGAGACTCACCGAGAGCGGCGACGGCCGTGAAGCCGCAGAGCCAGTAGGACACCGACGGATCACCCGGCCCCTCCTCCAACCCGAGGAGGAGCGAGACGAGCCTCCAGAGCCAGGGGGGCAGGAGGGGCGCCTTCGCCGTGGGGTCAGGCAACGGTCGCAGCCGGGGGCGGGGGACGGGCGGCCCGTTGGGTCGACGGGAGTCGGAGTGGTCGGCGAACGTCATCGGGAACGGCACGAAAGATCGTCGAATCTGCGGAAGTTCGGGACGGGTGCGAGATGGCGGGGCAGGGCCCGTCGGGGTTCGGCTTCCTCGCGTCTTACGCTTAGGGAGAGACGTTCTTGCTCGCGGATCGAATTAGCAGTAAACGATCGCTTGAGGAACCCGCGGTGACACTCGACCTTCTCTTGACCTCTTAAGCGGTATCTTATGCGACAGGATTTCTAACTTACCGGGAGAAATTATTCCGAGTCGCAAAAAAAGATTCCTTATGATCAGGGTTCCAAACGAATGATTCATCACAAACACATAAAACCTTCTCGATGCACTCGAACGATGATACTGAAAGTTCCATCAGCAAACCGGACTCGTGCCCGAAGCCAAACGACGCAGGCTAAAGCCAAAAATGGCGGGTCCTGGAGGTTCTCGTCGGTCCGGCACGATGAAATTCCGCTCATCGACGAGAGGCGGTCTTCGCACGCCCACAATTCGCTCCTCCGAGGAACGAGACAGAGGCGGCTCTGCCCTCCGTCGTGCAGGCGACGGTGGGGTCAGGGAAGATGCACGAGGGGATGTCCCAACCAAAGACCTTATACTAAGAAGGCTGGGCACCCTGTGGCGGCGCCTTTGATGTCGGGGAAACCTTCTGCCCTGGTGGCTGGCCCCAGAACTACGCAAACTGACCAATGGGATCATTGGATTGGAATGTCGCATGAAATATGGCTGCTTCTGGATCCAAATACTGCGCCTACGCACCATGCCAGGAGAAA